ACCCTAAACCCTAACACCCTAAAACCTTAAAACCCTAAACCCTAAACCCTAAACCCTAAACCCCTGAACCCCCATACCCTAAACCCTAAACCCAACAAAACCCCCGGCCAATTCGCCTGCAGGGCTGCCTCACATGCTTCCAGCTGCTCTGAATGCTCCTTGAGCTCAGTCAGCTCAGCCTGGGACCAGCTTCGGGTTTAGGCCTTACGGCTTAGGGTTTAGGGCTTAGGGCTTAGGGTTTTAGGGTTTAGGGCTTCAGGGTTTTAGGGTCAAAGTGCAGGTAATATAGGGGCCTGAATGACTAGAATGAGGTGTTGGGCTCCTTTATAGAATAAGCAACCCTAAGGATAAATCCTGGCAAACATTTAGGCTTCTATGTTAAACCCTCACAACCTCAACGTCTAATCTATCTTTTTTTGGGGATTGTTTGGAGGGATAAACCCTAAACCCTAAACCCTACGGATCCTTTAAAGGATCATGCGGGGCTTAGCTCAGCGTGGAACCAGGCGACGCTGAGCTTTGGATTCCGAGGAGATGCCAGCGTTCCCAGCTCGTCCAGGATCCCTTAAGCAAAAAACATACCACAAATCTCTATAACTTTTGTAAGGGTACGAAAAGAATCAGGGAATATAGCTTAAATCATATTAAAGATCCTACTAAACCCTAAGCCCTAAAGCCGTAACTTATACGGTATACTCTCCCTAAATCTTACAATACTCTTCTAGAAACCCTTCTAGATCCCTTTTAAGGTATATTATATTCCTCAATAACCAAGGTTCAGGATCCTGCTAAAGCCTAACCCCTGAACCCTGAAGCTAAACCCTTACCCCAAACCCTTGTAGCGTATGTTCCTCAACTAGGGGATCTTGGAAGATTTGGGTTCCCAGCCTTCAAAGCAGTGTGCTGCTCCATTTCCGACTGCGCCTGTCGGTGCATCGGAAAGGAACGGGGTCTTGGACTTAGGGTTTAGGTTTTTGGGGGTTTCGGGTTTAGGGGTTTAGAGGTCTAAACCCTAAACCCTAAACCCTAAACCCCTAAACCCTAAACCCTAAACCCTAAACCCTAAACCCCTTGGATTTAGGGTTGAGGGTCCAGGGAGTCCAGGAGTGTGGTAACAACATGGGTACTCGCTGGTGTGTGCACACCCAGGAAGCTCGCACCTGTACGTAGCAAGCAGCCCACCCCAAGACCTCCCTGAGTTTCAAAAAGTTTAGGGCTTAGTTCAAAAGTCTTCAGCCACCGCAGTTTGGGTTTTATACCTTTACCACTCCGTGGGAAATGCCCGACGAGCCGGCAGGCATGGTGCCAGTCGCCTAGCTACCTAAGCATTTTCTGCCGCTCGCGAAACTCGGGCCGCTTCGGGCTCAAGACTTTAGGGTTTAGGGTTGAGGGTTGAGGGTTTAGGGGGGTTGAGATTCCGATCTGGTGCCTTAGCATCCGGAAGGGCAGTGCTAGGCGAACCTTTTGAAGCTGCGTACCTCCGCTGCACTGCAGGCCAGGCTGGCCCCACCTACCAAAAGATAAACCTCACCAACTCACGGACATCTCATCTCAGCTGATGCTTATTACGTCGTTTTCTTGAACATCACAAAGATCACAGCTTGGTGTTGAAAGGCTAACAGCAGCAAGTTGGCGGGCAAGGGCAAAGAGGCACGATGTCCGAAACGTGCAACGGCGTGAAACGGAAGCGGTAACTGTGCGGCAACCCCCGGGATGCGACCTTCACATACCTTGCATCGGATCAAACATTACAAGAAGGCTCAAACGAACTGAGCAAGCAATAAATGAATAACTAGTCGATCGATTGATAGTTAAACATGCAACAAAGACGTAGTATAAATATACCTTGCAATGGAAATACGCATAGTAACACATAATTGCGCTTGCTTTCGAATAGAAGAAGACTCCAACTAGATAAAGCTACCAATGCTAACATCAGGGGTGGTGAGGACAATGATGATGATATTAATCACATTGTTTTTACGACAACGGTACCAGTAACATAACCAGAAAAGAAGTCGAAAAACACATAGCAGCATTGGAACAAGTAGTACTAGTACTACTCGTAGTAGCAAGAGCAGTAGTAGTATAGTAGTAGTAGTAGTAGCAGTAGTAGTAGTAGTAGTAGTAGTAGTAGTAGTAGTGGTAGTAGTAGTAGTAGTAGCAGCAGCAGCAGTAGTGTAGCAGTAGCAGT